CCAGCACTCGCATCTCCGTGAGCGCGGCAAGCAGCTTTGCGGGGAGCGCGTCCAGCGCTCTGACGCGCTCCAGCTCCACGCAAGGCGGGCGTAGCCTGCGGCTCTCCGACGGGAGCACGGGGCTGGCGTCGATGAACAGGCAGCGGAGCGGGAGCTCCGCCAGCGCCGCCGGCAGCGTGTCCTGCGGGACTGACATCAGCGAGGTGAGGCGCGAAAGCTCCGCCGCAGACAGACTCACCGGGGGCACCCAGTTATCGCGTCCGACGCGACGCAGGGTGAGCGCGCGCAGGCGCGGGAGCACGCGCGCGACCTGGATCCACAGCCAGCCGTCGAGCCTCTCGTGCGGGCTCTGGTTGAAGCCGGCGTGCACTGGGAGCGTGAGCGCGCGGGGCTGGAGCGCCGCGAGGAGGCGGGCGAGCCAGCGCGATGTGGCGGCGTCGACGGCGGCGACGCCGTCGCGGGTGAGCTCCAACCCGCCGCCGGCGAGCTCGAGGTGCGGGACGGGGCTCGCGCGGCGCTCGAGCAGCTCGACGAGGGCGGTCTGTAGGTCGGCGTGGGAGAGCCGCGCGTCGACGCCTCCGCCCCACCTCGTTGCACGGCAGATGCCCACGGAGAGGTGGGAGACCTTGGGCCATCTCGGCCGGATATCCGTGTGACCTTGCATGCACTGTTGTTCGTGGTTTGGGGAGAAGTCGATCGTGTCGATGTTGGGGCAGAGGTAGAGGATGTTCGTGGCAGCTACGGACGCGTCCTTGAGGGTGATATGCCGGATGGACGGGAGCGATGTACCGGCGGTGTCGAGGTCGGTCTGGCCTGGCAGGAAGCTGTTCATGACGAGTGTAGAGAGCTTCGAGAAGGCTTCCAGCGTGGACAAAAGAGGAGAGAAATCGTGAAACCACTGAACTTCGTGCCAGAGGTCGAGCAAGACGAGATTGCGTGAAGGAATACACTTGACCACCGACAGCACGCCGGGGCTAACCAGATGGCAGGACAAGTATCGCAACTCGTGCATCTGAGCAAGCGCACGAGTGACTGGTGGGTGGAGTATGAAGCTGGTATTGACAACTTCGAAGTTAAGGATGCGCAAATTCTTCGTCGCAGTGAGAATATTCCCAAAGGTATCCAGATACTGTGCGTACATCGGATGCGGTTGGAGTCTGATTTCGAGGTGGTGTATGTAATCCGCGCTGCGAGTGCGTGGCTGACAGAGATCGTGATGGCGTTTGATGAGTTGGACTTGATTCGAGATGTCGATGGTGAATCTGGGAGAACAAACCCCATACATGAACTTGCATGTGAGAGCGAGGTTCACTGCGTCGCATCCTAGGAGATAGGAGACGATGTTGAGTACAATATCTCCGTTAAGCCTATGGATGACTGAGGACGGCGGCATGTCGATGTGTGAGCCGAATGTTATGCAAGCAACTTGGAACGATGTGTGGAGTACTGCGCTGGTGTGAGGAGATGTCTATAAGAAATGTAGGAGACTCCATGTACTTGCCTGAGGAAGTCGACGTCGCGGACTCGCGATGGAATGAGGACGGCCCGGGCAGCAGTGCACAAGTAGGAGGAGTATCCAAGGCCCTGAAGGCGAAAAGCGGGCTCAAAATGCGCTCTTATGTGATTGAGAACACTTACCAGTCGCTGGTCAGTCGAGAGGGTCAGAAGGCAAGAGGTAGACGCTAAGGGATACCGATGATTGTGTGCGCGCTGATGCTGTTCAACGTCATGTCCACCTCCCCTTTCTATCACCTCGATTATCTACCACCGCGTATTCCATGCACCATGCCCCTGGCGCCACGTCCCCAACTCCGTCGGCGCGTTGTCCTGCTAGCGCGTGGGCCTCCTCAACGACTTCGCCACATCTATCTCCGTAACGTCTACCAAGCGCAGGCGCAGCGAAGGCACGGCTCCCGCAAATTTCTCCGGGAACGGGGCGAGCGTTCTGAGACGCCGGAGCTCCGGGTGTTGGGAGCATGTCCGAGGCCCGCAATGTAAACCATATGCAGATAGACGAGCCGACGCGACGTACCGGGCGGTATCCATGCGGGTGGCGTAGGACTATCATCCGTGACATACGCGTCGCGGTCGAAATGAGAGAACACGTCGAGCAAGAGTGAGCGCAGCGGCCCGCGACGGTTACCTCGACAGAAGGAGAGTGAGCCTCAGTGAATAAAGCTTGCGCATTGAGCGCTTGAGTGCCGAGCGCCGCCAGGAAGTACCAGCCGCGGTGGACGAGATTAGATTAGATTGCCTTCCAACGCAAGAGAGCGCCGCCAGTGGGTGTATCACTTCGATGCCTTCCAACGCAAAGGAGTCGAATACACAGGCACATAGAGTATTTAATGCGAGCTATGCCGACACTGATAAAATGGGGACGAATCCGACAGAGCACCGCGACCGTGATCTCACGCCCCGCCGCTGAACCCGTACTTCGCCGTGAACTTCGCGAACTCCGCCTCGCGTGCCCGCCGCGCCACGTCCTTCCTCCGCTCCTCCTCCGTCATCGGCGCCGGCGCGGGTTTCGACTTGCATGCGGGGCTCGAGCGCGACGGCGCACCGAGCGCGCGCTTCAGCCACGAGGGGGATTTTGAGCGGGGCGGCGCGGGAGGGAAAGGCATCGGGGACGCGAGGCCGTACTGCGATTGGAGGGTGCCGAACGCGGACTCGTAGTCCTTCGGTTTTGAGCCGCGGCGAAGTGGGGTTGTGGAGACGGCGGTGGAGGTGCTCGCGAGCGATGCGAGGGACGGAGAGGATGGGAAGGCAGTCTGCGTGGTGCTTGCAGGCATCGCGAATGTGATGGTCTGGGTGGTGGTGGCGATAGGGAGGTGGACCGGAATGGTGGGCGCAGAAGTAGGAGGAGGATGCGCGGACAGGTACCGAGGCGGTTGAAGGGGTATGCGTGGTTGTGACGAGTGGTTGGTGAGGCGACTGGGAGGTGCGTCACTGGATCTTATACCGAGCGCAGACGCACGCATGACGACTACGCGTGCCCGCTGCACAGGCGTTCGAATGTCCGAGATTGACTCCGCGGGGCGCTTGAGGTTCAGCGACGCTGCGCACTCATTGCAAGAACCGTGCATACAGCTGTGCACCCTCGGAGGCGCAGTATGACTCGCCGTTCGCGGCACCGAGATCACGTTCTGTCGGAGATGCGTCGTGTGAGTACGTGTGGAGGCACGTGAGGAGTCATTGTTAGATACAACATGGGAGCTTAGGGATGCTGTGGGGAGTGTAGATTGGAAGCACCGAGGACTTCAGGCTCGAGGCGGTACAAGAGCGGCACCGGACGGAAACTCTGAAAGACAGCGTCCGCCGAGTCGCCGACCGGGAGGCTCGGAGGACGCTCGTCATATCGCACGAGCGTTTGAAGATATGAGAAGCAGAACTAACCGGATGGTGTGCACCTCACAGTCATCCAGCATGCAGTAGCGTCCGCGCCTCTAGTTGACGTGCCGCGTTGCGTGGCGAACGTAGTGTTGATGCGTTCCGCTTCGGAAGGTCGATCGCTCTGCACAGCTGAAGCCAGAGAAAGGTGGTGTTTGGCGTGCAAATTGCGTGGATGCCGTACGATTAGGTCTATCAGTACTCGCTCCTGACAAGAGTAAAAACAAACCGGTCCTCGCCAGCGGTGCCCGTCAAAACCGCTTACCGTCATGTTGCACGGGTCATGAGCGGTATGAGCAGGGGGACATTGGTGTAAACAATGGCCTAGTAGAAAAATCCTAGGGGCTCATGAAAAAGAGACAAATGGTCGAACGGAGAGCAAAGCAACGACAGTTCAAATCACGGCGTACGGCGGGGGCGACCAGCGGATAGGATGCTCCTGGGAAAACAACTCACCCAGTAAGATCGTCATTGCTTATTTCTCAAGAAACCAGGTCACACACTGCCCATGAGAGAACGCTGTCCTCCCAAACTTCCACACTTTGTCAATTTGCATCGGCGGGCGTGTTGTGAGAGTTTGGGCGTCCAAGCTTCTGCGAGACTTGCGGATATTTTTGGCATAGAGAAACGTTCACGCGCGGTGAGAAGTGCGAGGCTGCCCAGGGACGGTGCGCGTAGCTTGGGATTCGAGGGGGCGGGGGAGAGTGCACCGTTCGCCACCACCGCGGACGCAGTGCTCACAGGCGCCGGCCGGCCTCGGACTCGGGGCCCGGCCTCCGCGGCCACCGGGCCCGAGGTCGGAGCGCGGAGTGACTGCGGCAGATCCGGAGACCGCGATGACTCCCTCCACCTTATCCAGTCCACGCCCATGTGTCGCACGCGAGGCATCCTCCAAGCTATTGGTGCGCAGCTGAGTCACGCTGCGCCCCCGCAGTCCGCATTCTCGCCATGCTATCGCTGCGAACCATGGCGTATCATTGCAACACCATCTCTTCGTGTTGGATCCGACGAGGATGTGAGGCAGGCTTGTTCGCGTGTTCGGAACATCGTCGCGTACCACTGAGCCATAATCATTGTATCGCACAATGTATACTCATCCTATTCCGAATGTAGTTGTGAGCTTCACTGATGCGCTACATGGTGGGTAGTACGAGAATTCCATCTAATTCGCCGGTCTACAGGTACTTCAGCACTCGAGCAGAGCCCTTCACCCCCGCTCCATGGAGCGAGCTCGCCACACAAGTTATAACGCAGCACGACACTCGCTCCATACGTATTCCGTTGATGAAGTCGCGAAGCTCGTATGTTGAGAGGCCGACATCTAATCTAATCTGTAACGACCTTGGTGCCAAGATAAGCTGCAACACTGGACGCCGCCTCCTCTTTCCGCTTCGTCACGGACCACCACAACGTACGGAGTGCACAGGAAACATGGTTTATGTGCATATTTGCTCACGATTTCTCCATTTTTCAGTGCGCTCCTTTCGACCTCGCACACTTTCCATCAAACCCCCTTCGGCGGTAGAGTCGTCCCCAAGTCAAAACTTCAGGGCAAGTGCCACCTTATGGAAATCAGCTTTACGTGCTCATTTATTTCTTCGAAGGTTCCCGCCATGGAGGCCCCTATCGATCGTCTCAACGACGATACTTTGCTTGCCATCCTCTCCCATCTCAAGAAGCAAGACCTCTGCGCCTTGTCGCTCACCTCCAAACACTTCCATGCGATTTCCTCTCCAAGGCTCTGGACAGTCATTTCGACGAAACGTGCTTCATACGTCTCCTGGTTGCATGGGAACATCGGCACTAACGCTCGTTATGTTCGTGAGATGACGATCAATGTCGACGAAAAGGCACCTATGCTCCCCGATGTCCTGTTCGCAACCAAGAATATCCATTTCTTTGTGATATACCGTCTTTCTTTCCATTCTGACGACCCTCGTTTTGCTTCAGCTCTAAGTTGCGGGGCTGTGCGATCTCCGGACATTCGTTTGCGGCATGGTCGAGGACGAAATGTTGCCGACGATCCAAGGCATCTCTCACAATCTCACAAACCTCGGTCTAAGCTATCAATATAAGAACTTTTCCGACCACCTCACCCCCCTCATCTCCCTCATCAGATCATTTCCTCGCCTGCATGATCTCATTCTACATTACATTCAGCAGGCAAATACTATCGACATCGCCAACCACCCACCATTCCCCTCCATCCAGCGGCTCATCCTGACCGAGGTCACCGAGCCTGCAACGGATCTCGTTTGTCTCTGCCCCAACGTCTCTGCCCTGAAAATATGTCTCTTCTCCACCTTTGGGAAAGGGCTCAACAAATTCGATGAATCTCGACCAAAGTGGCGCCTCTCGTCGATCCCTCAAGTCGTGCTCTCCGTTCCGTGCACGGAGGGCAGAGACTCCACGGTCTCTTTTCTGGAACGGTGGGCCTTCCGCGCGACGCACGCTCGACTGCCCATGCTCTGGCATTTCACGGCTGACGGCATCTCGTTCACTGAGGGCGAAGCCGCGTCCCGACTGACGCGCGTTCTCGACGTGCTCAAGCCGCACTCCCTCCACCTGGAGATATCGGCGAGGGGGCGCGACAAGAGGCTGTCTGATACCGACCGGACCGGGACTCTCTGGCAAGAGGTCGCCGCAGCCGCCCCGCACCTGCGCGCGCTCGTGCTCCACGTGCAGTCATTCGACGACGGCGAGCGGCCGCGGGAGCTTTGGACGCCCCCGGTACGTCGCGCTCCTGATTCGAGCACGCCCGCTGCTCACCGGATGTCCTCCACATGCCAGGACGCGCTCGTGGCGGAGCTCGCCCGGCTCCCGCTCTTCGGCGTCCGTCTCAATGCGGACACGCAATTGTTGAAGTGCAAGGCGGACGCGGACCATCGCCAGCGCATCCGCGCGCTCGCCGCGTTCCCCGAGAAGCTCGCCGCGGCCAGTCCGACACTGCGCGTCGTCGGCGTGTCGGACGGGTGGCGGAAGTTGGAGGGCATGCGATCCGAGCGGTGGTGGCGCGTCGAGCGCGGCGACGGCGACGGCGGGTCGCGGTCGCTGGTCGAGCTCTGGCGCGAGGACGGGGGGCGGGCACTGGAGCTCGTGCTGAACGAGGCGTTTTGTGTGTCCGACCTTGACGGTGAGTAGATGCTTTGAGTTCTCGTCTTACCCAGCGGCTGACTTTTTCTTCTGTAGAAATTTACTTGGGGAAGTGCCGTTACGTGAGGAGGTAAGCGGGGAGCACGAGCGCGCCACGAAGACTTTCGAGACCCCGCCGTCGCCGCGCGAATGAGGGAGACCGGACGCGAGGGGATTGTCGTCTCGCGCGCCGCGGGCTCGTTCGTCATCCCGAAGACGGCAGAGCTCGGCACGCTCTCGCGCACGTTGTGGGATCGCTCGCGGATGGGACGTCGGTGCCGAACCAGGTCGAGGTCACGCTCAAGGGTGGCTTGGAGCTACAGCCTGAGGGAGTGGGAGAATTTAGATATGTAGCGCGCGTTATGCCAATGCTTATCGGAGCTGATCAATACTCTCTGTAAGTAAAGACAGCCTACGCGCGCCTATCAACATCTCTTGCCTTCCTCCCTCGACCGCGCGGTGCGTCTCACTACCTTATGTCGCAGGTGATCAATTGTTCCTGGCTCATCGGATCCTGCAGCCATCACGATGTCCTCTTCGATGTTCACCGGCTCAACGAAGACGTCCTGCTTGCCGTCCTCTCTTATCTTCCAGGCAACAACGCGGTACAACTCGCTTGTACGTGCAAGTTCATTTGTGCTCTCTCCTGTCCAAGCTTCAGCGTGGAGTTATGGGACCAAGCCAAACTATCTCAAAGGGCTCAGATGATCTGCAGGCCTGGTTCTTCCTCCGCTTCTTACTTGCATGACTTCGACGTGACTCTGATGTCGAATAAAGACGAAGGCATAAAGGCCGTGAGCGACATCCTCGGGACCGCCAAAAACCTCCGCCAGCTGAGTCTCTCTACCGTCATTCGGAAAGGTTGGATGGAATATCCGTCGATCGTCCACGCTCTCACTCAAATGAAGAATCTGCGAGCACTCTATTATTCTCCAATCTGCCTCGACGACGTACTTCCGATGATCCAATCCATCCCCTCGCCCAACCTCGTCCACCTCAGTCTTTCGTACGATTTCAACAATCACGATTTCCCTCCTCTGCTCTCGGTACTGAAATCGTTCCCGAAGCTCCCTACACTCGCCTTGAACAGCTTCCTGCCAGGTCCGACTCTTCTCGACACTACCCAGACATCGTTCCCGTCCATCCGGCATCTCTCCCTCACGGACGTGTCCGTCGCCGCCACGGATATTCTCTACCTCTGCCCCAACCTCGGCACGATCGAATTCTCCCCAAACGACGAACAACGGTCCATGCAAGGCCACACGGATCCCCGGCCGAGATGGCCCAAGGTCTCCCGCCTCACTGTGGACATCGGCCGCGCGACAAGATGGGGCGGAGACGCCGATGCACCCAACGCCGAGCCGCAGATCGTCGTCGTTGAGCTGTTCGAGCGCCGTGCAAGCCCCGTCCCGCACCTCGAGCTCTCCTGCGAGTGGGAGCTCACCCGCAACGGCGTTGCCGCCGTCGACGCCGACACGTCGCGCCGCCTCATGTGCCTCCTCGCCGCGCTCCAACCCCGCGCACTCACGCTCCCAGTGCACGCCGGCTTCAACCAGAGCCCGGACAAGAGGCTCGACGGCTGGATGTGGACCGAGGTGGCGGGCGTTCTCCCGCACCTGCGCGCGCTCACCCTGCGCCACATTTACCCCAACGAATGGGTTCCCCCGGTGAGTCCGTCTGCTGTGAAGCCTTCAAGCTTCGCCTCGCTGATGTCAGTCCCGCAGGACACGCTGCCGGCGGCGCTGGCGCAGCTCCCGCTCCACTGTCTGTTCATCGACGCCAGCCCTCCGGAGATTGACAGGTTCAACCGGGCCCCCTATAGAGAGCTAGAGCGTGTCAAAGTGCTTGGCGCGCTCCCCGCGAAGCTGCTTGCCGCGCTCACGAAGATACGCGTTCTGGGCATCAAGGGGATAGCCGCGCTTCCCTCAAGCTCGTTGAATTCCAATGAAAAGCGGTGGCTGACGGAGGTGGATGAGTGGAGGAAGCAGCACGGTGAACGGAACACGCGTTGGTGGCGGGTAGACGGTGTAGGTGAGGAGCGAAAATTGGTCGAGCTCTGGCGCGAGTACGGCGAGCAAGCGCAGCGGATCATCGAAGATTCCGAGACGTATCGCGTCGCAGACCTTGACGGTGAGTATATCGGACGCCTCGGTGCTTGACCTGGACGCTGACTTTGCGCTTACGCAGCTATATACTTGGACAGGTGCCGGTACGAGCCCTGAATGTAGGACATGCGCGTACGATGGAGATCGGCATTGAAGACACTCGTGACCGGGTTGGATGCGTCTGAAGGGTACACTACACGCCCGTTTCTTCATGTTGGCTTGTTGATTGTCGCGTGTTTTCAGTCCTCGGCTGAAACGTCCCCGTGCCTCCCCGCGTCCGCTTTCTCTCACGTCCGCGGCACCTCAGCTATCTTTGGCGGCGTCACACACCAAGAGGCTGAGCGCGTCCGAGCCTTTTGGACGGTTTCCGGCATTAGCGAACACTTGGATCACCTTGGAGCTCAGCTCCGCGAGGAGTATAAGTATGAATGCGTTTAGACTGCTTCAAAAGGAGCAGGCCGGCGAAAACCCTAGGACTTATCCAGCAATATGATTCAACTTTAGCAATAGCGTACGTAGTATCCGCCTCCCCTGAAAGTGGGGTACATGTGGTCCGTGCTCGTTCATTCCTCGCTTATGGCTCATAGCGGCACTTGTCCAGATATATTTCTGCGGAAGCAGGTCAGCCCCGGGCGCAATCAGACATTATCCGACACCTGTACTCACCGGCCAGGTCCGCGACGCGATACTTCTCCGCGGTTTCCACCAGCTTCTGCGCATGCTCCCCATCCTCGCGCCAAAGCTCCACTAGCCTCCGCTCCGCCCCTGTCCCATCTACCCGCCACCAACGCGTGTTCCGTTCACCGTGCTCCTTCCTCCACTCGTCCAGCTCGTAGGGAAGGAATACTTCCAGCTTGAGGTCCTTGAACGCATCTTCGGGTGGCGCGGTCATCCCCTTGATGCCCAGAACGCGCATCTTCGTGAGCGCGGCAAGCAGCTTCGCGGGGAGCGCGCCCAGTACTTGAATACGCTCAACCACACGGTAGTCCGGACCTGATGCCTTCGGATCATCAACCGGGCTGGTGTCGATGAAAAGGCAGCGGAGCGGGAGGTGCGCGAGCGCCGCGGCGAGCGTGTCCTGTCGGCGGAGCCGGGGCGTCGAGATCAGCGTTTGCGCCCGACGTTGTCCGGCAGACGGACTCACCGGAGGGACCCAGCTGTGGTGCTCGGAGCAGCGCAGCGTCAGCGCGCGCAGGCGCGGGAGCGCGCGCGCGACCTCGGTCCACATCCGGCCGTCGAGCTTGTTGTCCGGGCTCTGGAAGCCCGCATGCACCGGGAGCGTGAGCACGCGGGGTTGGAGCGCGGCGAGGAGGCGGGTGAGGCGGCGCGACGTGGCGGCGTCGACGGCGGTGACGCTGTCGCGGGTGAACTCCCACTCGCCGGTGAGCTCGAGGTGCGGGACGGGGCCCGCGCGGCGCTCGAGCAGCTCGACGAGGATGGTCCGCCGATCGTCGTCGTCGCGCGCGGCGGCATCTGCGCCCCATGCCGCCGCGCGGCCGATGTGCGCGGTGAGGCGGGAGAGCTTGGGCCATCTTCGGCGGGAATCCGTGTGAGCGCCCGCAGAGTGCTCGTCGCGGTCGAGAGAGAGGTTTAACGACTCGAGTTTGGGGCAGAGGTAGACGAGGTCCGTGGATGTCGCGGAACATTTACGCAACGTGATGTGCAAGATGGACGGGAACGATGGACGGGTGATGTCGAGAAGAGCCGGGCCTGGCAGAAAGTTCTTTAGGGCGAGTGTAGAGAGCTTCGGGAAGGCTTCCAGGGTGGACAAAAGAGGAGAGAAATCGTGATGCCGCTGAGAGTAGTAGCAGAGGTCCAGAGTGACCAGATTGCGTGAAGGAATAGACTTGATCACTGACAGCACACCGGGGCTAACTGGACTGCAAGACAAAGATCGCAACTCTTGCATCTGAGCAAGCGCACGAGTGGCTGGTGGGTGGAGTATGAAGCTAGCATCGCAAACTTGGAATTCCAAGCTTCGCAAATTCTTCGTCGCAGTGAGAATATCGCCAATGGTATCCAGGTACTCCTTGTATATATAGGGTACGAGGTTGATTTCGAGGTGGTGTATGTAACCGGCGCTGCGAGCGTGTGGGTGACAGAGGTCGTGATGGCGTCCAACGAGTTGGGCTTGGTTCGAGATCTCGATGGGGAATCTGGGAGAACAAATCGCATACATGAACTTGCATGTGAGAGCGAGTTGCACAGCGTCGTATCCTGGGAGATAGGAGACAATGTTGAGTACAATATCTTCGTTGAGCCGACGGACGACTGAGGACGGCGGCATGTCGATTTGTGAGCCGGATGTTATGCAAGCAACTGCGAACGATGTGTAGAGTACCGCGCCGGTGTAGGCGGGTGTGAGGAGATGTCCATGAGAAGTTCAGGAGACTGCATGGACTCGCCTGAAGCAGTCGACGTTGAGGACTCGCGATGAAATGAGGGTGGCCCGTGCAACAGTGAACAAGTAGGAAGGGTATCCAAGGCCCTGGAAGTGAAAAGCGGGCTCAAAATGCGCTCTTGTGTGTTTGAGAACACTTACCAGTCGCGTCGAGAGAGTCAGGAGGCAAGAGGGGTAGACGCCAGGGGACGCCAGCTTGCGCTTAATGGTTTTCAACGTCATGACTCCCGCATTCCCGGCCAGTGTTGACTCCATTTAAAATGAGCTATGGATGTGTTCCTGATCGGACTGCTTTCCTGGAAAGTATCGAGTTGTCAGCCTCTGGCACCGTCACCAACGCGATGATCGGGGTGTGCGAGGCGGGATTGTTGGGTCGGCCTGAGTGTGACTTCTACCATACTCTGCGCCTGCTCCCCATGTTCTCACCACAGTTCGACCATCCACACCTCCTTTCCTTCATCCTCGATCCGCCATCACCGCGTATTCCGCACACCATGCCCCTGGCGCCACACCCCCGCCTCCGTTGGCGGGTCGTCCTGCGTGCGCCGAGTCCTAGTAAACGTCTTCGCCACATCCATCCCCGTAACACCTACCACGTGCAGCGAAGGAACGGCTTCCGAAACTTTGTTCGGGAATGGGGAGAGCGTTCGGAGACGCAGCTGGAGCTCCAGGCATTGGGAGTGCGGTCGATTCCTGGATCACAATTCGAATATAGAGGCGTGCCATACGCAGAGAGACCGACACGACGTCCCGGGGGGATACATGCGGGTGGTGTAGGACCGTCATCTGCGACATATGCGCCGCGGTCGAAACGAGAGAATACATCGAGCCACCCTGATAGATCAAAGTGGAGTGAATGAAGCTTGCGCGTTGACGCTGACGCTGAGCGCCGCCAACAAGTACCAATAGACGAGATTAGATTAGATTGCCTTCCAACGCAGAGGAGTCGAATACAAAGGTACGTAGATTATTTAATGTGAGCTATCATATAAACACGAACACGAATCCGACACGCTCGATAGACCTCGATCGCTCCATCACGCCCCGCCGCTGAACCCGTAGTGGACTTCGCGAACTCGGCCTCGCGCGCCCGCTGAGCCACGTCCTTCCTCCGTTCATCCTCCGTCATCGGTGGCCGCGCGGGTTTTAACTTGCGCGTGGGGCTCGAGCGACGGCCAACCGAGGGCGCGCTTCAGCCACGAGGGGGATTTTGAGCGGGGCGACGCGAGAGGGGAGGGCGTCGGGGACGCGAGGCCGTACTGCGATTGGAGGGTGCCGAACGCGGACTCGTAGTCCTTCAGTTTTGAGCCGCGAAGTGGGGCGGTGGAGACGGCGATGGAGGTGCTCGTGAGCGATGCGATGGACGGAGAGGATGGGAAGGAACTCTCGATGGTGCTTGCGGACGGTGGCTGCGAGAGTGGTGGGCGCAGAAGTAGAAGGAGGCTGCGTGGAGAGAAGAAGAATTGGTGTCGAGGTATGGGCAGCTGTGGCGAGTAATTAATAAAACGACTAAACGGTACGTCACTCCATCACATACCGAGCACAGACGCACGCACGCACGCACGCACGACGACTACGCGTGCCCAGGCGTCCACCTGAGGTCCGTGATTGACTCCGTGAGGCGCTTGTGGGTGCAGTGGCGCACTCATCGCAAGAACCCTGTATACAGCTGTGCACCCTCAGGACGGTCGAGGCGCAATATGACTCACCTGTAAGTTCGCGCCGTGCGTACTAGATTAGAAGCACCGAGGTCTTCTTCGGGGCGGTACAAGGGCTCGGCGCCGCGGCACCAGACGGGAAGTCCGAAAAACAGCGTTCGCCGACTCACCGACCGGGAGCCTCAGAGGACGCTCATCATATCGCAGTCTGCCAGAAGTAGAGCCACCTAGCGTCTGAAGACGTGAAACAGGAACAACCGGATAGTGCGCGCCGCACAGTAACAGCATGGAGCAGCATCTCCAGCTGACGTGCCACGCTGCGTGGCGAACGGCTCGCCTCGAAAGGTCGACCGGGGACAATTCCGCACGTAGATGGCGAGGCGGATCCGAGGACGCTGAGATTTCAAGCCTTGCATTGCCAAGACTGTGGAAAGGTGGCATTTGGCGGGAAAATTCCACGTACATAGATGCTTCACGATTGGGTACATCAGTACTCGTTCCATACAAGAGAAAAACCAGATCAAGGCGCACCGGACCTGTTCAGACTCCAGCGACGCATACAGGTGCATATATTCGCGTGCATCGCGGAGAGGTCGTCTCCGTGTTGATCTATGGGTGCACGTGGGAAACTACTTAACTTCATGTTGCACGGACCACAAGCAATATGATCAGGGCAACGTTAACGCCAATGATGACCTGGAGAGGCTCATGACTCGAATAGAGACAGATGGTCGAACGGAGACCAAAGCAACAGCAGTTCAAATCGCGGTGTACGGCGTGGGCTTCCAGCGAACAGGATGCTCCTAGGACAACAACTCACTCATCTTAGTCCACAGGGCTACAGGCCACACAGTACCCATGAGAGAACGCTCAATTTGCATCGGCAGGCGTGTTGTGAGGTTTTGGGCGTCCAGGATTCTGCGAGACTTGCGGATATTCTTGGCAGATAAGAAATACCTTTACACCAACGAGAATAGGGCGGTTTGAGGCTTTGAGGGACGGGGCGCGCAGCTTGGGATTCGAGGAGGTGAACGTAGGTAAAAAGCAAAGCTGCAGGGCTGACAGGCGCTGGTCGGCCTCGGACCCCGGCCTCCGCTACCGCCGGGCCCTGGCTATATCTAATCTAATCTATATCGCCCTTATCGCCGACAAGCTGCAACGTTCTCAGGTTTCTGCTTCGTCACGTACCACCACGACGTACGGAATCCACAGGTAACATACCACCAAAACGCAGTTGATTGGAATATTTTATAACGAGGGTTCTCCTTTTAGCAGAAAGCAAAATTCCGAGTGCGACCTCGCACACTGGTCAAACCTCCTTCGACGGTACTGATCTGGAAGTTCAGGGTAAGTGCTAACTTGCGGGTATTACCTATTTTAGCGTGCTGATTTATACATTTCCAAGTTCCCGCCATGGCAATCATCATTGACCGTCTCAACGACGATATTTTCCTCATCATTCTCACTTATCTCGAGAAGCGAGATCTCTGCGCCTTGTCGCTCACCTGCAAACACTTCCATACGGTTTCCTCTCCAAGACTCTGGACAGTCCTCCCCATAGATCTTGCCTTCTTCGTATCCAGGTGGCATGATAATCTCGACACCAACGCTCGTTATGTTCGTGAGGTGGCGATCCATAACGGCGACCTGGCATCTACGCTCCCCGACGTCTTGTTAGCAACCAAAAACATCCGTTCCCTCAATATATCCTATGTGACTATCCTCTCTGACGATCCGCGTCTTTGTATGGCTCTCGCAGAACTGCGCGAGCTCCGGACACTCTCTTGCAACTGGGTCGAGGACGAAATGCTGCCGATGATCCAAAGCATCCCCTCTCCCAATCTCACAACCCTCTGTCTAGCCTATGACGGCCAGAAAAACGGTTGCGCCCACATCCCCTCCCTCATCTCGGTCATCGTATCCTTCCCTCGCCTGTATACTCTCATTCTCGAGTCCCTTAAGCCGAGCATTGCGGTCGACATCACCAGCTACCCGCCTTTCACCTCCATCCGGCAGCTCACCCTCAACGGAGTCACCGGACCTGTGACAGACATCATCTATCTCTGCCCCAACCTCATCTCCCTGAAACTCGGTGTCGAATATTTTCGCGAAGGGGACCCTCAACAATCCCGACCGAGATGGCGCCCTTCGCCGATCCCTCGACTCACCCTCACGGGTTCGCGCATGGAGGCCAGAGACTCCATGGTCTCGTTGCTGGAACAACGAGCCGTGCTCACGACGCACGTTGGGCTCTTAATGCTCTGGGGGTTCACGCTGGACGGTATCTCGTTGACGAATGGCGAAGCCGCGTCCCGACTCACGCGCGTTCTTGTCGCGCTCAAGCCGCGCTCCATCCACCTGGAAATATCAGCGATGTTGGCCGCCGATCTATCTGATCGCACGGGAACGCTCTGGAAAGAGGTCGCCTCAGCCGCGCCGCACCTGCGTGCGCTCGTGCTCGATGTAGACTCATCCTACGGCGATATCGAGGACGAGGGGCTGTGGGGATGGATGCCCCCGGTACGTCGCGCTCATTCGAGTACGCCTCTCGCTCACCCGATATCCTTCACACGCCAGGATGCGCTGGCGGCGGAGCTCGCCCGGCTCCCGCTCGTCTGTGTCCATCTGAAGGCGGACCCAGAGTTGTCCAATTGGAAGCCGGGGGACACGGGGCGCCAACGCCTCCGCGCGCTCGCTGCGTTCCCTGGGAAGCTCGCCGCGGTCATCCCCACATTGCGCGTGGTCGGCGTGTCGGATGGGTGGCGCCAGGAGCAGGGCATGCGATTCACGCAGTGGTGGCGCGTCGAGCGCGGCGACTGCGGCGACGACGACCCGTCGCAGTCGCTGGTCGAGCTCTGGCGCGAGGATGGGGAGCGGGCGCTGCGGCTCGTGCAGAGCGAGGCGTTTTGCATGTCCGATCTTGACGGTGAGCAGATGGCTTGATCTCTGGTTACACCCCCCGGCTAACTTGTGTTTCTGTAGACATCTACTCGGAGAAGTGCCGTTACGAGCGTTGAGCACGAGCGCGTTACCGCCGTTTCAATCGCGCCCTTCCTCTGCATCTACGCTGTTGGTATCTCGCCCTCCCTCCTCACCCCTCCACTCCTCCAAGTCAGACTCTGAATGGACTTCTATTATGGGTCGCATCTACCACTGATAGCGACATTTTTCGGTGAAGAATCCTAAAATATGTGCTCAGTGACGCACGCATTCCAGAGGCTCTAAACACCACTCACCTTCAAGGCTCGTGTTCGCATCGAAAGACGAGCCGCAGATGATTTCGCACGCGCGTTCACCGTCTTCTCTCCACATCTCGTCCAACGTCCGGCCGCGGCCGCGGCCCTCCCCGACCCACCACCACCGTTGGTCACGGACTCGCATCTCGCGCTTCAGTTTCCGCAGCTGCTCCAGCTCGGGGCACGCATCCGTAGCACCCCGTGCCTCCGCCTCCATCGCCTCCGTCACTTCTCGCGGAATTCGAATCCGATCCGGTCTGAGCATGGCCTCGTTGAGGTTGAACAGGAAAGGCGTGTAGGGGCCGATGTGGAGGACGCGTAGGCTCGGAAGTGCGTTCGCGATGATGAGCGGGAGCGCGGGTAGAGTGTTGAGTCGGCGCAGCTCCGCTTTACGTAGGACCGTTATGATGACCGTGCCATTGGGGGAGAACTGCGGACGGAACGGCAGCAAGAGGGACAGGTTGAGGAGAGATATGGATGAGAGGGCGTCGAGCATCGGCGTCTGTGCATGCCGGGTCTCTCAGACAACATCGCAGGACAGCCGGAAGACTGCACGGGATGCTCACCACGAACTCACGCATGTTCGCGCCAGCGTTCGGCCGGATCGTGACGCGAAGAGAGCATCGCTGAGGCGCGGCGCGACACAGGTCCGGCCAGAACGACGTATCATCCAGCAGCCAACTGTAGCCGCCAGTCACGGATTCAACCGCGATCGGGCGCGCGGGGGTGAACTTGGGCACAGAGGGGCCGACGAGCAACTTTCGGATGTTCTTTGATCATGTGCTGGACAGTCTCCACCGGGATGTACACAGTGGGCGGGACACAGGTCAGTTTCCAGAGAGCAGGCCAGCCGCCGCCAGCCGCGGGCTCAATGACTGGCTCGTCGCGCCAGAAATAAAGGTCCGCATCTAGGGCGACGAGGGCGGAGGGAGGCGAGTGTGCGGATGACGAAGTAGAGATCCAAGTCGTCCTGACCGAACTCGAGGTGTAGATCGGTGAGGTTTTGGCTGAGTAGCATGACCGGGAGAGAGGTGGTCGCGACGGCCTTCATGCCGACCAGAGCGAGTTCCTCGAGTCTGGACAACGCGCCGATGGCCTCGCCGAACCGGGAATCTCGTTGGATGAACCTCTCGGCGCGGTGAATGAGAAGGAACTGGGGATTGACCGCTTTAAAGAGGAAATCCGTGAAGAGTGGAGCAAATTCCTGTGGTAAGGGCGCGAAAGAAAGGGAAAATCGACGGAGGTAGTAAACCCGAGGGACCTGGGACACTGGCTCACAGCTGAGTAGCAGCGAGCAGATCTTGGCCGACCAGGGTTGATCTTCAATCGGAGGACTCCTGCCTTTCACGTGGATGTCGAAAAAGACTTGAGAAATAGCGAGGCGGTAGGCAGCCTTGGAGCAGCACGCCACAACGAGGGCCTCCGGTGCTTTCAATAGGGAGAAAATGAGGAAGAGAACGTCTTCATTGAGTGACAGTAAGAGTGGAGGCATGTGTGAAGGTGGGGATGGGGGCCAGGTTGGAGACTGATGGTCGCTGGAAGGATACAAAGCACGACACGTACACATGCTGCGCGACTGCGAGTCAGGCCCACCCAGACTTCACACGCGCACCCTGTATGCACCCCGTATATCCTCCGTAAGTCCGTCCCAGCCCGCCTGTCCATTCATACCGAGATCTTGCAGTCGATCTTGCAGGGAGGAAAGGTGCAGGAAACCATACTCTCGTCGATTCCTGCGGAGGACAGAGAGATAATACACGAGAATGGCGGTGGAGAGAGCAAGTTAGGCCTGAACAAGGGAGAGAGCGAGCGAGGAAGGGACGACGGCGGTAGCCTATGATGGTGGATGACGGCAAAAACCTGGGTCCCGCGGCTACCCGGCCCTCGGAGGTCGGAGCGTGGACGTGCGTGGAGCCTTACATATAGTCCTCCCATGGATCTCATAGTGGCTAGCGCTAGTGCGCAAGTGTCACGCGCGAGGCATCCTCCGATTTATTCGTGCGCAGCTGAGCCATGCTGCGCTTCCGCAGTTCACATTCTCGCCGTACCATC